GTAAAAATGGCAGGCGGAGACTCGCCAACTCACCGACCGGGCCCCGGGAATGGTTGCTAGATATAGCAACAGAGGGGCAACGAGAATGTGAGTGGCTGAAGGGTTAAGAAACTACCACCGCTTTCTACTCAGATCATCTGCTCCAGCCGAAGCCTCCTGCATCCCTGGCCCACTCGCGACTTACGAATAGTTTCTTACCCTCCGAGCAGGATCACTGCTCTCGCGACTCCACTCTGGACGGCCAATGAAGGCAAGCCAGAGGTGGGAGACCTGTTCCTTGTCATCGTTCACTCCAGCCAGCCAATTAAGGCAAGCCGGAGAAGAAGGAACGGTAACTTATCCCTGGAGCACTCGGGATGATGGTAGCCCGCGGGATCGCTAATGCCCGTCACCTCGCCTCAAGGTGCCCTGCGGGCTTATTATTATTATTATTATTATTATATACCGGGCACAATTCCTAGATCCCGTGCTACTACTGACATTTTTCTTAAAACCCAGTAATTCTTGCCCGACCCGTGAATTAAACCCGAGACCCCTTGCCCGGCAGTCGCACTTGCGACCACTCGGCCGAGTCGAATCACGAGTTAGTGACGAGTAAATCTCTATGAAAGTCACAGAAGTCCGAAACCACCAAAAGTATTATTAATCTCATTAAATTAATGAGCGCAGAGTTAAGTAAATATAATAAAAAAAGGAACAGAACGATCCATAGCGTATATCTTTATTTCCCTGTTGGGTACGTGACCGTAAACTTTGGAACTCTGTCGAATGGAAAAACTTTATTTATATTTGAGTTGGGAGCGCGGGTTTGTGAATACTAAATCAGATTGCCATAGGATGCGGAGTAACGTTATATTTCATCTATCATTTACTGCGTTTCTTAGGAATGTTTTGGTAGATTCAAAAACTATATTAACTCGTCGAGTACTGTCATTATAGACACAATTATAGAACAATAGGTTGCGGTCACCGGTGACCGCTTGGTGTTTGACAGTTTAAGTACTTAGCTTAAATAGTTAGCTTGAAACTTGGGAATAACCTTTTATAAAGATGTTTTATGTGAAACTTTACATCAGTTTTGGTGTTTAGTCTTCAAGGATTTTAATTTAATAATCTTTGTAACGAGCAAGAAACTCCATGTGAAGGAATATTATTATTATGTTTAAGGAGCCATAATAGTATGCAGATAACACTGATAACTAAAGATTATTTTTTTATGTTAGTTGGGACGGCGTTACATCACTATCACGCCTGGTACTAAACGGTGATGCGGTGATGGAGAACGTCGTCCCATAAGGAACCTATTCACTCGGGCCCTGAAGACACCCAGGTCATAAACTCTGGCCAAGAATTCCACTCCTCAGCAGTAGATTATTACAAGAACTTAGTTGCGTTCCTATATTTAGCATGTTGCGACGTCAACTTCCATTTAAAGTTTTTATTTATCTTTTTCAGAAAAACCCCGTGGAGCTACACTTTTAATAAATTGAATTTAGCTCCCAGTTTTACCGTAGTGTTTTTGGACAGAATAGCTTTTGTTTGGGGATGGATGGTCTCAATAAAATTCGCACTGCAATATATTATGAGACTCGTGTTGAAAATGCAATTTAATTTAATAGCTGTACCGTTTTCAACCTTTTTTCATACAATAGTTGTAAAAATAAAACTTAATATTTATTATTCGGTATATTTATTTAGGAGATTTATGTTTTTTTTATTTATTTGGGAAACTAAACAGTTAGGTTAGATATGACAATAGATATTAAACATAGAATAAAAATTCTATGACCAACGACATACTCCACAGAGTACAAAAATTAGTTAAAGGGGAAAAGATTTGTTGTAAAAATAAACTAAAGATTCGGTTGCAAATAGCAGAATTCTATTGGCTATTGCGTGGCTCTTTTAATTATATTTTTTACTGTTTTGACTTTTGTATCAGAATTGAAAGTACTACCTATCTGATTGCACATTCACTTTGATACAGAATTATTAGAATATCAATTTCACCACAATCTTCTTTCAAAAGTAAAATAAAGTTTTCGAATTTGATAGAAAATCTGTATTACGGGATCCTATATACACCATAATCCAATATATAAAAGCAAACAATACCTAAGTAAATGGGTCAAGTTGACACGAATATGACGATAGAAAACCCGGCAGGAAAGGATTTTGTTTATTCTTTCGGGAAAAGAATTAGGGAGAGATACAAATTGGGAAATATTCCGTTTAGCCCGCCTACTGTCTCCAATTCGTTATTGCGTCTCACTCCATTAGTCACACGCTCTCTCTTTGATTCTATATAAAGGAAACGTTTTTATGCAATATCAAGTTATGCCCAATAAAACGTAATAAGGATGTTGAACTTTTTTGATCTTTTTGTTACAATTGTTAAGATAATTTTGATATATTTTTGTAATTTGTCGTTTTTTGTATATTTATCGTCCGTTTCATTTTGTATTGTGCACGTGACTCTAAAAATAAGTTTGACAATTTGATTTTGATGTATTTGAGAATCCTTACTTTGTTTTGACTGCACAGCTGGTGCGGTGGCTGGGCAACTGACTGCCGCGCAACGTGTCGCGGGTTCGGTCCCCGCACGGAGCAACTCTTTGTGTGATCCACAGATTGTTGTTCTGAGTCTGGGTGTTATATGTATGTGAACTTGTATGTTTATAAACGCATCCACACAAGAGAAATTCCTAGTGTGAGGTTAAAAAAATCCTACTGATTTAGTGAACATTCGACTAGCTGTTAGATTGGTTGTATCTTCAAAACTTATTGTCAGGTACACTACAAATATACCTACATAATGTACTTTTACCCTTAAAATAAAAACTTAATGTTAAACTAATTGTACTTAGTTAAAACTCAGAGCAGGCGCCCTAACCTTGTAAAGAATGGGTCGAAAAAAATTCAAGGAATACAATTTACATAACACGGTTTACGGACAAGAAAAGGCAACGAAAAAGATATTTAATCTTTTCCCTGCCTTTCTAAGGGTTGAAATACAATAAGAATTTTGTTCGTTTAATTTCATAATGTTAATAAGATTAAAATAACAGCGTCATCGTCTGACGAAGTTAGAATCCCTTTATTGTTACTTGAATCGAGTTTTATGAAACTTAAGTAGAAATTATTAATAGAAATTCTGGTACAGACTTCATTTTGTGAATGTAACTATACTTCTTTACTTTATTGTACTACTAGTTACCGCCAGCGGCGTCGCCAGCGCTCTCGTGAGATTAAAAGTACCCTATGTGTTATTCCAGACCATAATCTATCCCTATTCCAAATTTCATTTCGATCCCTTCAGCTGTTTTAACGTGAAGGAGTATCAAATACACATACGTTCTGACAAACCTTCGCATTTGTAGTATTAGTAGGATTATATTAAACAACGCTCTGAAGTAGCTTAATTCTAAAATTGTTGATGCATTTTCTATATTATAAACTAGCGACACGCCCCGACTTCGCACGGGTGCAAAATGCATGTTTTATATCTACATATGAACCTTCCTTAAGAATCACTCTATTAAAAAACAGCATCAAAATCCGCTGCGTAGTTCTAAAGATCTAAGCATACATAGGGACAGACAGACGGCAGATGGCGACTTTGTTTTATACTATGTAGTATAGTAATAGTAAAGTGGAATAAATTTGCAGAATTTGTTTGTTATTTTAATACAAAAAGGTAGGCTTTGTTTTGATCTGTATATATCTGTATATATCATACCTGTCTTGCTGATAATGATCAATATCAATATAAGAAATATAAATTTTGAATATTGATCATTGTCAGTCGTCAACTGTATTATGTGTGCGTGTATGTGTGTGTGTGTGTGTGTGTGTGTGTGTGTGTGTGTGTGTGTGTGTGAGTGATCGCATTTTTCCAAACGTTAGATCTATAATATTATGATAACGACGACGATGACGAAACCTAAACGGTGTTTTTACTTGAAAACATACTTAAATTAAAGGTACATTAAGTTTATTTTCTCATACCTGATAGTCTCCCCTTGTGGCGCAGCTGAGCAAGGTCCCTGTGTCATTAGTGAAGTCCACGTGATGAGGTGGTTCCAGGATACTCGGTGCTCGCCGCGGCTCGGGGGACGCTCGCACTGCTGCAACAAGAGAAGAGATACGTTCGAATTCGGTTTTATAGATAAACAAGTGTACACCCCACGGACCCCACTGAATCTAAACACCGAAATTGCTTGACTCGAATCGAAACCGAGATACCTCGATCAACAATATGATGCAGTGTTGTGACACTGCTGCTGGATTAGGAACGGGGTGATTTTTAGTCAGTAAGAGTCTGACACTCACACCCAGGAGTAGGTGAGAGGGATTCACCTAACTTAAGGCGGGAGAAGTCATTTAATGAAATGCCCCCGCTCAAAAAATGTGTCAATTTTTACTTCGACTTACGTATAATGGGAATTCACCATAAATGTTCGTTATTTTTAGCGATATTGTAATTTTTTTTTATCCTATACATATCTACGTAAGTAATAACATTATTGTATGATGGCGATGAACGTAGAGAGTATAAATAGTACATAAGATATATCTGCCTCGTTGGCCGAGTGGTTGCAAGTGCGACTGGCAAAGGTTCGATTCCCGGGTCGGACAAAGTATTACTGGGTTTTAAAAAAATTCTCAGTAGTAACACGGAGTCTGGAATTGTGCTAGGTATATGGCAATAGGCTCACCCCCTATTACATGGGACTCATAACATAAATAGAGAAAAGTGGGTGTTACATTGTACAGTGGCATAATGTGCATCTCCGTCTACCCCTTCGGGGATAAAGGGCATGTATATATATTATGTATATTATGTTATATTATATATATATCTTAGATACGTACCAATATCCTCCCAAATACAACAATAGGTTCATTCAAGTGATAGCGTAGATTTTCCTGTTATCACCTTAGTAAATAGAGGGAGACAAAAAATAGACGAATAAAATATTACTCCGAAGTGAAAGTGTTCGTGATATTTCTTGTTGACACATTCACAAATAAGTGTTCAAAAGGAAAACGAGATTTCATTGAGCTTCCTTTGTTTCGTTTTTGTTTACATTGAAGTTTTTTTTATGTAACTAACATAAATGAAAATGTTGTTTGATATTCTATTGTTGTAGTTTACATTGGTTCATGTAACAACTCCTTGCTTTTATAGTTTGAGTTGATTTAGATATCTTTGAATCTATATACAGGATGTTGTTTTAAAGCCGCGTCATTTTCTAGGAGGTAACTCGGCTATTGATTCCAAATTTGAATCAATAAAAAAAATTGTAGGTGAATATTTTATATAAATTACGGAAATCCGTAAGTGCGAACTACACACCGCCGTCTTGTAGTTTTATAACGCGGCTCAACACACACACAAACTCAAACACGTAATTGATATTATTCCTAATTTCGTAAAACTCCAATAAGAAACATTGCTGTCGCTTATTCTGAAATACTGTAGAACTTAAACGATTTATTATAGCCATATTTTTAACTATTGGCCCGAAAATTTCTCTTACATTGAACCTATATGACTTCTGTGACATGCCCCCGAGAAATGACACAGCTTCAAAACTACACCTTGTATATATTATACTATACTAGGTATATATTTAGATTCACTTTTATAACTGCCACAGTTCACTTTAACTCTTCAATTAGAAAGGTTAATTGAACCACAAACATAATCACTAGGTACATAATATAAAACAAAGTCGCTATCCGACGTCTGTTTGTCCCTATGTATGCTTTTAGATCTTTAAAACCACTTAACAGATTTTGATGCAGTTTTTACAAGATAAAGTGATGCTTAAGAATTATGACCCCCTATTACATGGAATTCATAACATAAATAGTGAAAAGTGGGTGTTACTTCTATGTGCACCTCTGCCTACCCCTTCAGGGATAAAAAGCGTGATGTTATGATGCTTAAGAAAGGATTATATTATGAATAATACATGCATTTTACACCCGTGCAAAGCCGGGCGCGGGTCATCATCATCATCAACTGCCTATAAGTGGCCACTGCTGACCAAAGGCCTCTTCTCACACGGAGAAGGTTTGAGCATTAACCACCACGCTTGCTCAATGTAGAGTTGGTGATTTCAAACTTATAATTAGAAATTATAAGCCCAGGTTTCCTCACTAGGTATACTTTCCTTCACCGTTTGTCAGTGGTGTCTAAATAATATTAGAAAGTAACTTGGAAAAAATCACAATGGTGCTTGCCGCTAATAGATTTCGAACCCGTGCCATTATGCATGAGGGCGTTTTAACCCTCCGGGCCACCATAACATTAGCGGGGGCGGGTCGCTGGTATTTATTATAAAATAACTAATTACATTAGAACGTTACGTGCTACAAACAATATTCTCCACATGTTCCCACACAAACCTAGTTAAACTAACGTAATGAAGTCAAGTTAACTACATTGGTTAAATGATAAAATCTACTTAAACGAGCACCTCGTTTGATAGCACGACTTGCATTTAACTTATCGATTTTATCTATGCAAACTTTAAACTAGTTCCTGGAGGTCTACTCTGATTCGACGAAAAACGAAGTTTCGGACGAAACTTCGAACATTACCTACCACAATGGCATTTGTTACGAACGAAAAAGGAATGAAACAAGCCAGAAATTAGTATGAGATGTACTGTTTGACATCGATATTTTCGGAACCCTACTCTAATTGTACAATCCGCACGAACGAAAATTCGAGTTTGACAGATTATTCTTCGGACGTTTAATGTCATTTCGACGAAACCAAAATAGTTATCGTTTGATTTTCGTTTGGGTTAAATTTATTGAAAAATGAAGGAAAGTAATTATAAGTCTTCGTTTTATCACGGTTTCTTTGTGTGGGCAACACGTAGGGCACCAAAGGAACTACTTAAATGACGATATAAAATCAATGTACAGTCAGCTCAAATAGTTTGTTAACACAAACCTATATATTTTATATGTTTATGAGAGTTAGTAACATTTAGGGTAATCAAATACTTATTTGAATACCTTATGTATTGTACATAAATGTTTCATGTGTAATGTTTTATTTTAAAACTAATAATACCGCTTGAAAAATTAACTTAACTATTGCTAATTTATATTTTCGCTATTCTTTCACATCTATTAATATACCAATATTTATAGATAAGATAAATTCTTTCAAAAATATATTGTTAATCATCATAACACGAAATAATTTAGTCTCTTCAAATTCTAATGTAGACATTTATAATTTTTAAACTGACTGTACTAATATAATACGAATAAATTTGGTTGTCATTATTTTATACATAAATGTCAATAAATGACAATAAAAGAACATTCTAAAACTTTTTGACTTGGTCGTATAATAAATTTCTGAAAGGAGGTTCTTATCCTGTTTAAGATTCTCCATCTTAAACGTTAATATTAAAAGATTATTCATGATTTTCTTGATGAAATTGTGTGCTAAGCCATGGAATTATTATTTTAGTAATATAATTACGTAAAATAAAATTTTATATTTAATTTTGAATCTAAACCTACTTATTGCATTTTTATTTATCTTCACTTCATTCGTTCATTGTAGTTCACGAAAGTTGTCTATGGTTCCGAAAACGTTGTTTGCCGCCGCAAATCAAACGAAACTTCGCATTCGAGAACCGGAGTAGACCTGCTGGTTTAGTCACAATGGGGGTTCAGGCGGTTTTATACTCTTTCACGTAGTGTTAAAGTGTGTAGTTGACCTTCGCATTAAGGCTGAGGGATATTTTTGGAGGGGTTGTTTTTGTGAGATGCAAGTAAAAAAATGAAAATTGCCAATCCACCTTATGTACTTCTTCGAACAAGAATAAGTCCTTGCAAAGTACTGGAATTCAATAATGGTGACAAAATAGTAAAGTTAAATATAATATTTAAAATTATTTTTTTCGACGCCGTAAATTACATATTTCTTTTTGTTTTCTTTCTTATGTTTTTTTATTTTCTGTGTTTTCTTATACTAATATAATATTAATTTATTTTTAAGTTGTAAACATTTTTCATAACATATCAACAACTGATAGAAAATAGATAACGACCAATTTTAGGTAATGCCCTTTGTTTCGTTTTCGTTCCGCAGTCAAATACTTAAAATACCCTTTCGGAAAGAGGTGGTTCTACATACACCCTGTCATGTAGTTAGTGTTGCAATAAATGGAAAAACCTATGATATTATTGCCATCCTTTTTTTCTTTCATAGACTACAACGAATGAGAGAGACAGTCTATTTCAGGGTTTTTCACGTACACTTAGTCAACTTATTGTTGGGCGTGGAAATTGTAATGGATCCCTTGGGCAGTTGTGAATGTGACGTGCCAGTAGCCCTGACAATGTTTTTGTCCGAAATATTCCGGGAACATGTCTAAAGTCGAGGTTGTTAGGAATATAATATCATTAAGTAGGTAAGCGAAATTGTTTTTATAATAACTTAGTAAGCGAAGTTTTTACTTAATTTAGTAAGCGAAATTCTAAATTTAGGGAGTTCAGGTAGAAAAATGTGAAAATTGGAAAGTTCATAATGTATTTTTTTGCCAGATTTTTTGCCCATTATATTTTGATTATGACTGAATACAAGTAGGCGTCATCAAAATTGTAATGTGCTTACCTACTTTCCCGTTATATAATTACATAATATGTACTAGAAAAATGACAGATGAATAGTGGGAGTTTCTTTATTCTATGCCCTCCACTTAACATACAAAACAATATGACGCTTCAAAAATATACGTACCTAAAACTTTAATCATTATGTTGTGTGCCTTCACAGGTCTAATAAACTCTTATTATGTACTGAATGTACTACACAAATGTCATACGATACTCAGTACCGAGTAATTTGACACCAATGTGAAGTTAATATCGCCCGCTAAAATCTAGCCGTTTGGTAAATTAATTCGAAATTCGAAACTGATAGCTGGCTGCAACACGAATTTATTTCCTACATTTGTAATTTAGACAAACATTTCATTCGTAAATTGAATTTCGAAAATGGTCATTGTTATTGTAAAGATTGATTCGAATTTCGAAAATAGGAATTGTATAAGAAAATAATTGTTGGATAATTAAAATTTGGTGT